ATTTCTATCCTTTCCATAATGTTCCCTTTCAAGAATATATATATATATATATATATATATATATATATATATATCCTGTAAGTGTCATAGCACACCTGTAAGCACACCTGACTGACTCATAACATGACACTGATTAACAAACTCAAAGAAAACATTAAAATTCTTTGCTCAGTTTTAAACCACTGGGCAAGATAGAGGATCAGACTTTGCGTGACTTGTACATACTAACCTTCTAGGGGCCAAGAAGAGTGTGCTCTTCTGAGGCCATTAGAGGCAATAATTCTGTATGCAGGTCCTTCGGGTCTTTTGTCTCCTAGAAATAAATAGTTTTTAAAAATCAATAAAGGGGACACAATCTGTTAGTCCACTAGATGATAAAAATGTCAGTTATTCCCATAGGTTCATGGTACTAAGAGGGCTGGTAGAGACAGCAGCCACCACCCCACCACATAGTAATTATAGGATATAAAAGTCATTGTTATTAGATAAATCCGTGAAATGGTGAAGAGCAAGGGCTGAAATCTGGGGAGCAGGGGTTTCCAATCTGGTACCATTTTGTATCCATTGAGTTTCTGACTCTTGGGGAACAGGCTTACAGAGGTGTGTCTCCCACTGGGGCTGGGTATGGATCTCTGCCCGGCTCTTGCTCCTAAGGTGACTTTCTCCTCCACAGTAGGTGACACAGCAACGACAAGCTGCAGAAGGCTTTCCTCTGTGCTTGGACATTGTGCCTGAGGCTGGAGAGGTACCCACAGCCCTCCCTGAGCTCTGGAGTTCTGGAGGCTCTTTCAAACGACTTCTCCTCCTTTGAACATGGTCCAGACTGATGTCAGACTGAGAAGAACAGCTCTCATTCCAGCCAGAGCTGGCACTCAGACTTCTCAGGGGAAGAGCCAACCGCAATGCCTTCCAGAATTTAGAGCCAGCGTGTTTGGATTTTTCTCCCTTCCAGCTCACAAAAGACACAGACTCCTTCAGCTGCAGGATGCCTGGGTGTGGATGCTCAAGGGGACGATACTCTACCACAATGAGCTTGGTGGCAATGGAGTTCTGGCACATGACTCCCAGTTTAAATTCCAGCATGCTGATGCTCTTTTCTGTCACATAGTCTGGGCTCAGCACAACAATCATCCTTCGGCTCCTCTGAATGAAGTCAAAAACTGCTTCCACTGTATCTACAGGAAAAGGGAAAGATAGGACGATGCCTAGTGAAAACTTATATAAGTTTCAGCTCATCGTTTCTCATACAAAGGGAAGGCGATGAGTAAACCTTCAAGGAGGAGAAATTAGCCACCTCTGAAATGAACAGCTAATTTCAGCTCAGTTTGTAAATTATTTCTTGATTTGAAGTATTCTTCCCTATCACTTTTATGTGGTAGTTCTGGGTCTACATCCTTAAATGTTTGAAATACTTTGCAACCATTATGATCACATTGTTTTTGTTTTTGCTCCTCATCTCTAGATTAAACAACTTCAAGACTTTTATTACCCATATGACATGGTATCAAGTCTCTGTCCTACTTTTATTATTTTGCTCTATGTAATGTTAAGTTTATGTATGTGTTTCTTAAGAGTGGTATCCTGAATGAGACTGAACACAACGCTCCAGACACAGTGTGATCAGCAAAGAGCAATCAGGAATTGCCATCTTCTAAGATTTACACAATTTAATCTGTGATACTTAAAATTTTGGGGTAGGACATCAGACAGTTCATACTATCAACCTTGTTCTCAACCCAAATTCCTTGTGTGTGTGTGTGTGTGTGTGTGTGTGTGTGTGTGTGTGTGTGTGAAGATATGGTTTAACAATAATTTAAAAGGGCAAACACATTGACAATGGGTAAGAACCAGTCAATTAATTAAGGCTTCTGGCAAAACATTCGATTCTAATAGTTACCGAGATGAAACTGAACATATCCCAATGGGAAAGTTCCTGAGCTAGATTCAGTGCTTAACTCACTGTTAGATTTAAGAGCCTAAACAATGCTATTTTCTTAAGGAAAAGAATTCCAAATGTGTAGATGACAGCCATCGACAACTCTGAATACAAGTGCCACAGACACACCAGGAGGGTGAGTACCTATGCTTTGGGGTCAGAGGTGAAACAGTGATCTAGAGGCTTTTTACCCTGTGAAGACAAGCTGAAAGTTTGCAGTGACATTAATCATTATTAATTTGACAAGCATGAAGGAGCTATGTTCCTTACCAGATCAGATCTTCCCAATTAGTGAATTTAACATGATTTTGAAGAGGAATTGGAAGAACAATTTTTTAAAAATGTAACTGGATTTATCAAGGCAGCAGAGTGTTTTAGGTAAGTCTTGTTTCAATCTTAAAAGAGAAATCTAAATGTCCCCTGATCTTCACAGCCTATGTGAATGTTCACCCGTGTCTCATAAACTCCTTTGTTCTGCCCAGTTCTGCTTGGAATCTCACGGAGCTGTCTTTCATAAACCTGAGAATGTGAGAATACCAAGTCTACTGCTTCTCCTGTCTTAGGATAGATCAGATCAACCTTTAAAACAATGTGAGAGTTCTTGATTACAAGGAACTCGTGCACTCAAACTGTGTGTGTGTTTCACTTCAAAATAGCCTCTGGGGATAAAAACTGTTGGAAACAAAACAGTAATCTAGATCCTCTAAAAAAAAGAGCCTGTGGCTCTCAAAATATATATTAGTATTTAACCTAGATTGGTATTTGAAAGAGGACAATGTTAAATAAATAGATATGTATGATGAAATTCCAGACTTTGAGGAATGAATGTAGGGATGCCTCTCAGATGGGGGCCTTCACAAAGCACTTTGAAACAAATTGCATCCTTTATGGAATATTTTAATGTCTTACATATTGTCAAAACTTTATATCAGAGGCTGAAACTTATTATTTTTAATACTGAAGATTATTTGGAGAGGGAACTGTAAATTAGATCTTCCTTGTTGAGCTCAAAAAAATGATGTGTGGCTGTAGAATGCTGAGGCCATTCTCTTGTATTACACTAAACTGATTTCAACTCACATTTTCTGGTTTCAAACTCTTCAAGGCAAAATACTCCTGCCTTTAAAATTTGTAGCATCTCTGAAATCCCCCTACAATTAAACTAGGGCAGCGATTTTGTCCTTTGGCTGAGTTATTGGTGTATGAAAGAGCAACAAGCCTCTTTCCCTCTGTCCCTCTTAAAACTTGAAGTGTAGTAAAAAAATAAAGGGTGCACACCTACTTTGGAAGATAGATCTTAATTCAAATATTTGTTTTTCCATTTGTCTCTGTTTTTTCCTCTTAATATATTTAAGTCTGAATGTATCACTCTATATAATACATGTGAGAGAAAATTGGGAAAGTTTTTAAATAGGTAGATTAGAGATACCTAAATGTAAATGTATAGCAAACACAATATTAAAATAAAGTATGGACCAATGTTGATTGAATCTGAACCAATTTTTGATGGCAACTTTAGAGAATCACCCTAACATGTGAATTTATGAGTCATAAGTTTTAAAAATTTTATCTATTCAGTTTAATATACATGCAGATACAAAATATTACTGAAACACTTAATCTCCAAGTCCATTGTTAAAAATACTTCAGAGAAAACAGACAGACTTGTTGAATATGTCTTGTCTGTCATACTGTGACTTTACTGGCATCAAAGACCTAGTGACATCAGTGAATGACTAAAGATGGTATCTTGAGCATTTTAAGGAGATCAGTTATAGCCAGGTAACCAGGATGACCAAACTACTGATACTAAAACTGTTGTTATTAAAACTAAATAGTCACCACTATGTTCCAGAAGGTAATTTAATATGTCCAGAGTTGGAAGATACTTCAGAATTATAACCACTTATCCAATGTGAAAAGCCCAGGTACAAAACCTTAATAAAATTCATCTAATTTCTGCCTGTACAACACTAGTAATTGGGGCCTACTACCTTCAAAGACAGTGAAATACGTTACTGTTCAACTCTGCTTTAAAGTTATTTCCTGAGTAGAAATCTGTTTTTATATGACCCTCATCCATTGATCCTAAGTGTACTCTTTGGAGATGGCCTTGCAAGTAAAAAAAAAATCAGTAGAAAAATTTTTACTAATGTAACCAGTTCAGTTATAGAAACTTAATAAATATTCTTAAAGTAAATAAATAGAAAAAAGTTATGGAAGAAGCCTTCCCTGTTACTATAAACTTATTATTAAAATGCAAAAGAAAATGTGTTTCCAAATATTTATCTGATTTATTTTAAATTTGTGATAGGGCCTTGTTTAGTGTAGCTCAGTGGATTGAGCATGGGCCTATGAACCAAACAACCTAGGTTCAATTCCCAGTCAGGGCACATGCCTGGGTTGCAGGCCAGTTCCACGCAGGGGATGCACGAAAGTCAACCACACATTGACATTTCTCTCCCTCTCTCCTTCCCTTCACCTCTGAAGATAAACAAACAAAATCTTTAGAAAAACTTTTAAATTTGTGATAGGAATGCATTTTTGATTCACTGCAAATTATCATCTGTTAACTAAAAGCAGGTTATAAATTAATTGATCTCATTCCAAAGCAACTGCCTCGGACTTGAATTAAAGCCTATATAAGGTAAGAGTTCCTGTAAGCTATCCAAGATCCAGGCTGAATGAAAAGAAAGAGACTTTGTCATTTTTTCAAAAGAATTTCTCTCTCAGTCCCTTCCTTCTCCCGTCTGCCTCTTTCTGTCTCTCTGCCAATCCAGATACACACACGCACACCTGGTATACTAGAACAACTCATTTTACTTAAGTCTTTTACTCACATGTAAAGCAAATATTCTTGAGATGAAGTTCCCATCTTTCTCATATTTCTCCCAAAGAAAAACTTAACTAGTGTAACATAACATTTCATATGTGTCTTTCTTTTTGTTCTCATTTCTTATGTCCAAACATGAAAATAAAGACATAAAACACATGCACAAAATAAAATTCAAAGATGAAAATAAATGGTTTATTTAAAAAATAAATTTACAAATCAAATGGAAAATACAAAAGTTTATGAAGAAAATAAAAAGATAACCTTAAAATATTAAAACCTATGGAAAGAAAATGGACAATTAACAGGGGAATGATGCTTTTGTTCTCCAATACAAAGGATGATTTTTGTTTGAATCCTAGGGAATCATCTAAGTTACAATACAGAAGAAAATTAAATAAATTTTGTATACACAATAATTGTGTAAATAGATACTTTATATATCATAGTTCTCTGTTAACTCGGTTGAAGTAGGTCTTTATATCACATTTCTCAAATATTAAGTTTTTAACTTTAGAGATTTTTTTTAACATGAGAGAGCAATTCCTATCTGCTCCCTAAATTATGTTTTTCCATCTCCCTCAAATACTCTATATTAGGAGTCTTCTAGGACATAAAACAAACAAAATATCTTGAAAATTTTCTCTTAAAATGAGACATACGGTGTACATTTGAGATGCTTTAAATTTTAACATTTGGAAAAGTTCAGTACAAGAGACAAGAATATAAATAGGAAAAAAGATGTCAAGACGTTTCTAGGGACACCCAACAGCATTTGGGATAAATATGGAATCCAAAAGTGCAAAAACGAATGGACCCTTGGTGATGGGACTGCCCCCCCCCCAATTTATCTAAAGCTGATGCAAGAATTTGATATACAATGATTATCTGGAGTCAGATTTCCTCTGCTCTTGTGAGTGAAGGATAGTTAGGAAGGGTGATTGTGGTTCGTTATAAGAAAAAGCATTAATGAGGCTAAAAATGTTAGATCCAAGAATGACTTCTGGAACAGTTTTATAGTCAAAAATTCATGCTTATATTCAATTTAAAATGATTGATGATCCTCTATAAAGAAATGATGTATTATGTACTTTAATACTGCTGAAGGACTTTTAAATGTAAAAGATAGTTTTAGAATTGCTCAACAATATACCACAGGACAAGGGTTTCCTTAAATTGTAGCTTATAGTGTTTCATAGGATACTCAGGCTGATTTATAACTCAACAGTCCAAATAGAGATTTATCCAGTACTGAGAGCACTGAGATTCACATAGTTTAGTTTTTAAGTGTATGTGTCCAGAACATAGTAAATGATCAACTAACACCAAATGATGGCTACTGCTTAGCAGTAACCACAGAAACTCTGTGCACAACAGACCCCAGATCAACTGTAGCAGTAGTAAGTTGTTTATACTAATTTAGGGAAGGCGTGAACTAACAACAGCTACCTCTCTGTGATCAGTGAATTCACAAATATTAACGTATAGAAAGCACTACAGTAAAAACATAATGCAAAGACTGGACAAGAGTACCAGTAGTTTGTAATACTGTGCTAGTGACTAGTTAAAGTCATATACACACACACGTGTGTGTATGGAGACATACACACATGAACATAAGTATGCATACATGTGTACACATACATATATAATTTGTCTATATCTATATGTAATATAGATAAACATATATGTAATTTTACACACACTTACACACATATATGACAGATATTTATCACTCTGTAAACTGTGGACTTAACTGTTACTTTTCCAAGTACTAAAAACAGTTAAATTTTACTAAAAGCAAACTAAAACAAGTTACATTGATGATTTTTCAGCTGACCTGTTTGGATTGAGTGTATTAACTGTAACAGTGAACAAAATAGGTAAAATACTAGAGGTCCAGTTAATTCTCTTATAATATTAATGCTAAAAGCCACTCTTAAGGTCACTGAGTCTGACTTCAATACTTCACAATGGGGAGACAGAAACAAATGAGGAGAAATCACCTTCCTAATAGTCATATTAGTAATGCTGAGATTAAAAGACAAATGGCCAAACATCCTGTTCTGCCCTCTTTTCATAAGTCAGAAAATGCCCTAAAAGCATTATTTCATTATATTAACAACACCATTAGAGAAGTTTCCTACCAGTATGAGCCAGGTGTAGGGCCACCTGTAAACTCTGACTGACTGATACAAGCAAGTTACAGTGGAGAAGAAAGATGGAATAATAAGTATGGGTCAAGCTAGAGATACTCAGAAGTTTACTATAATAAAAACATTATATTTTTCAAGTTGACAAACATGACATCAATTACCTGAGATATAAGGCACAGGGGTATAGGAGAAAATGCGGGCAAGTCCTACAGTCAATTATAGGAACAGTTTCAGTAATTACTGCTCTGTATCGTCTACGTGGCCATCAGTCCAGCTGTGATGGTGTGTGGGATAGCAGAGTGAGCAAAGGAGCTCATTATCCTCAGGTAAAGTAAATTTAGACCCTGTTTATCTTTTTAATGGATGAGTAATAATAAAAGAAACAGAAAACTATACTTGGAAACTCATGACCCTGTTTATAGATGTTTATAGATGACTTATCATTAAGGGATCTTTCAGTCCAGGGCCAAAGGCTGCCCCATTATGTTAAAATGCAAGGAGGGGCAGAAAAGAGAGAGAGAGAGAGAGAGAATAGAGACAAGTAATAAGAGGGATAGAAGATGCAGAAGAAAAAATGTGCATTAACCAAGTCTTTGCCTGCAAAGAACATAGTGACATCAGAGACTGGTGACAGACTGGTGACACAATCATTCTGAAACTTAGTATTGCCTGAGAAAACAGAACAGCTAGTCACACAGTCACCCTGAACTTATCCCTATGGGAAGGCTTCCACAGAATTGTTTTCTGTCAATGAAATAATGAATTGGACATAAAGAGGGAGGAACTCTTTCTTCCAAAGTACCCTTGGATGTGTTACACCTTTCATTGTCCCTTTCATACGTTTTTCAGGGATGAATAGGAGAGGCCCTGCTCGCCACTTCTAGACCACCTGGAACTTTTCTTCACAGGCATGGCCACCTGCAGCTGCTTCCAGAACCTGCCCTGTGGATACTTGGATTTCTCCCCTTTCCATTTAATGACCGTGAGCACCGCCTTAGCCCTCTTCAGCTCTTTCACCTTCGTCTCCTTCACAGCTTTGTACTGCACTAAAATGACGTTGATGTTTCCCCGAGAGGCCATGTTTTCTAGGCCAGCCTTGAGCTCCAGGAGGGCTTGGGTTCCCTGGAGCACGTAGTTGGGGCTTAGGACAACCAGGAGACGTCTGCTTTTCTGAATGAAGCTCAAGGTCTCATCTGTGACAACTGGGAAAGAAAACACCAGGGGGATTAGTGTTGGCCAAGAACTCCCCAAAAGCATGGGGTTTGAGGAGCAAGTGTTGGGAACTTAGGATATCAGCCTGAGGTGAAAGTTTTGACCAAGAACACTGAACAACTTAATCCTTAGATCCTTTCACTCAGTTCACTAAATGCCACTCTCCTCAGGAAGAATAGTAACTACATGCACGTATTCTAATGCCAAAATAATTCCACACAGGGCTGAAGCAAGAATATGCTTCCATAAGAGTGTTCAAAAGCATTATTTGGTATATTAAGGAATAAAAGGGCTGTATTAAAATAAATTTCTTCAAAACTGTGTGGCATATTGTGTCCCAGCTAAAGCAGCTCCTCAGCCCTTTCTCCTCAAAGATGTCCATGTATCAACTCTCTATGGCCAGTGTGCATTCATTAATATATATATTATAGGGACAAAATCACAGATATGTATTTTTCACAAACATAGAACAGCAAGAGCAATACTTCATTTTTTGCAAGTTCCTCTCTGTTGCCCTACACCTCCTGACTAGAATGCCATCAAAATGGGAACTTAAAAACCATCTAGCCAAATAAATGGCATTTTGGCTTACATCACATTCTCAGCTTTTTATTCTGATCTCTACTCAGTAAGCTAAATTAATCCCTGGATCGTTCTCCTTAAACTCCAATCATTGTGATGAAGCCATGTGTTTCAGCAGCTGCTGGCTGATCTGTCTGCCTTCACCACCAGGCAAATGCTTTCTTCAGGTCAGAAGAGAAGAAAGAATAAAGAAAATGGAAATGCACCTTAATTTTATTCTGTTGTCAAGGTTTTGGTTAGTTTCTGTCAGAAAACTCTTGGGACTAATCCATCTCCAGGTTGCTTATCAGATACTGTTAAATCCTTTCTCTGAGATTCAGATAGGAGCCAAATCCAGAAAGCTCACTAGTGTGTGGAAAGCGATTTCATGACTTACCATAGTTTCCTAAACCGTCGTTTTGTTCTTTAATCTTCACAGATACAGAGGCAGTGGGGGGAAACTTGCAATTAAAATAGCATATGCAGCCTGGAGCAGAATCCAGAAATAAGTAATCGTCTATTCCAAGCAGCATTGTTGGAAGCTGACCGTATGTAAACATGGAAAGAGACCCAGAGGCAAAGAGGGGACCCAGGAAGAACAGCGGGGAGAACTTGGAAGATCACAAGGATCAAACATCAAAGCAGGATGCAAGAGTAATTATGTGGAACTTGAATTCTTTAAAGAACTATCAACCCCTACTGGATGGTCTTACGTCATTGTTATACTATAAAACTTCATATAATGCTCACGTAATAGATAAATATTTGTTGAATAGTCGTATACATGAACAAATACATGAATAAATTGTTTAGGATTTTAAGTCTTAAAATGAGTGCAATGTATCCTTTTAACTCTATAATCAAGCCATTGTTTCCTGGCAAAATCATACTGAAGGAGTTACCCACTGCAGAACACAAGCAACTTGGACTTTTGGGTGATGACTGGGAAGATAAATGATCCAGCTAATTCAACATGAGAACAAACAAGTTAGTCTATGTTAGATTAGAATTAAATTTAGGCTATTTGCAGTTATCTGTATAATAGTTAAAAAACATGTGAAGTGATTAGTGATTAATGTAAACAGTATTGTAGGGAAGAAAAATTTGTTTGTTGTGCCAAAGGTTGGCGACATTACATGCATTTTAGAAGTCTGACAATTAACAGTCAGTTTAGGAAGGCTTTTATGTATTCATAAAACAGATTCAGATGGGCCATTACTTTGAATGTGACAGTATGGACCTGAAAATTAGGCATGTACTTTTATGTGAAGACATTCAGCAATTCTATCTTCTTTCTTTCTAACCTACTATTCAATAGACTGAATTGGACTTTGTAAAATTTTAAACTATATCTCAAATGTGTAAGCTGATGGAAAGGAAGAAACTGACCCAAGAGAAATGAGAAATTGAGTGGTGTTAATTTGTTAGAAAACAAAAGTGAGGAAAAGGAAATTAGCAAATGCCAAAGGGAAATATTCTAATTATTATTAGTGAGTAATGTAAAGAAAAATTCCATGCACTCTCTTCTGCAGTTCATTTTTAGTAAAATCGAGTAAACCCTAGTCTTTGTAAAATGTTTTGTTTAAACTCAATTTATGTAGAAAAAATTCTTGGCAATTTAATGTAGATGAGCTAAACCTTTGAAAAATCTAAATGTGAGTAAAAGGGGTGTTTAAAGCTATGGCATTTTATAGAGCTCTATTCCACTGTGCATCCAAATTTCTCTGAAATTTAATTTTTAAAGCTTACAAGGGAAAATATTTATACTATAAGCTGGATTTGAATAGTTTACATCTTACAATATAGTTTTATTTCTAGAGAGTCTCTGTCTATTATATCACATACTTGGACATTGAATGTCCAAAGATGCCAACACAGAGCTGTGCCATGATTTTCATCATGATCCAAAGCTAGTGATCCCGTTTGTGTTTCAAGGTAACATCACTTGTACTCATCTGAAATACCTACTTCCCCCAGGCAGGCTGTCTCGGTCAAAGATACACAGCTTGTATCCAAATTCATTCTCCAAAACTCCACGGAGGGTCAGTAATACGAATTCTTCTTCTTCGGCATTCCTTGCATAGGATACATAAATATCATATTCCTTCCCATCTAGAAAAAAGAAACACAGATTCAATAAAAGTTAGGTAAGTTTCTCAATAGTATTGCATATTTTTCTTAAGTCAAACTTTTAGAAATTAAATATTCTCATTTTTTACATGTATAAAGTATCTGACAGATTTCAATGTGATTTCCCACTTGTGACAGGTCTTCAGGCAAAATGACTATTCCAAGGTATAATTGCAATTTTTATCAGATGTGTCTTCTACTCCCACCTCACTGAGTTCAGTTTCTATGGTGGAGAATAAGTGAGGTTTGGTTCATTAAACTATGGATTAACAGAATCAGGCAGCAAATAGTCAGTAATAGGTGCTGGTAATTAATACCATGCAGAATATTTCTACTGTCTCATTATGTTACTCACTAATATATTACAGTTATAAATTGAAAAAAAAAACTTTTAGAAATGTTCTAACTTATACCTGAAAATAATTATAATTAAAAACATATAGTCAATATACCAACCTTTCCCAAAGTTGCCTAATTATTAAAATCATTTCTCATTAAAAACACGAGTTCTTTGTGTCTCTTCCAGAAACCTACTGAGTGGGAATCTTTATGCGACGGGTCTAAGAATCTATACCTTTAAATGTTCTATCCTTGTCACCAGGAAATTACACACTGGAACCAAGCTTCTTAAACTTTAATGAGCACATGAACAACTTAGAGACATTGTTCAAATACAGATTCTAATTCAAAATAAGGGTTTAGCTTAAGATTCTGCTTTTAATGAATTCCTATGCGATTCTAATGCTTCTGGCACATGGGTCGCTCTGAGACAACGAGTGGCTACTTAGCACTTGAAGTGCAGCTAGTCTGAACTGAGATATGCTATGCATACAATACATATTGAATTTTGAAGAGTTTTCATACCAAAAATAAGATTAAAATATCTTTGTTAATATTAATTACAAGCTAAAATGTTAATATTTTAGCATTTTACATTAAATAGATATATTATAAAGATTTCACTTCCTTTTTGGACAGTGCCAATCTAGATGAAGTCTCATATTGAAAAAAATAATATGTGTTACAAATATTTTCAATAAAGAGAGTTAAAACAAAAGGTAGTCCAATTAAATCTCCCAGTAAATCTAGACTTTGCTGAGCCAAAATGTTTTCTAAAGATGACAATAGAGATTTACATCAAACTGCCATTACTCACCTAAAATGGTTTCGTCTGTTCCAAAATGTGCTCGGTAAAACAGGACCATCTCCAGCCAATAAACATGGTAAACGATAATGAGAACCACCACCAGCAGGACTGTGACCCCAAAACCACACGCCAGCTCCACTGTGTATCTTGGAGCTACCACTGGAGTAAAGCACAAAGAAACAGTTGAGTTCCATGTGGTGACCAGAATGGCCCATCATCCTGCAAATAACTGCATAAAGCAAGCAGCTGAGCCATGACCTGTTTTATATGTGTGAACAAGCAGAGATAATATGGTAGGAGTTAGGCACTTTGCTTTAATACTTCATGTGTAGTATTTATCTTTCGGTTTCTAGTAACTGACACAGAAGGCATTTTTAACTATTAAATTATTTCAATAGACTTTGATGATATACAAATTCAAACAGAATCTTAGCATTTGGAAGGACTTAGAAAGTTATGTAATTCAATTTACAATCTTATTCCTGACTTTCCTCAAAAATATCTTTAGAAATATTCCATTCTCTGTTTGTCCTTCTCTTGGCATAGAATCCTTACTACTACCTAAATGAGCCCATGATTTTGGCAGAGTTGTAATTGTTGGAGCAGTTAAATGGAGGAAAATCTTTTTTATTTATTTTTATATTTGTATTGTTGTTCAATTACAATTGTCCCCATTTCCGCCGCCCCCATTACTCTCCCCTGCCCTACCGACCTTCCACTTTCATACCTCCCCACCCTGGTATTGAGTTTTATAAGTTCTTTATACATTTTGGATATTAACCCCTTATCTGATGCATTGGTGAATATGTTCTCCCATTCTGTGGGTTGTCTTTTTATTTTCTTGATGTTTTCCTTTGCTGTGGAAAACCTTTTAGTTTGATTAGCCCCACATGTTTATTTTTTCTTATTTCCTTTGCCTGGGAAGATATATGCAATGAAAAATTTCTACAAGCAATGCCTGAAATTATGCTACCTATGCTTTCTTCTATGATATTTAAGGTTTTGTATCTAACATTTAAATCTTTAATCCATTTTGAATCTATTCATGTGTGTATGTAAGGAGATGGTCTAGTTTCATTTTTCTGCATATATGTCTAATTTTTCCAACACCATTTATTGAATAAACTATCTTAAGCTCATTGTATGTGTTTGCTTCCTCTGTAGAATGTTAATTGACTATAGAGGTATGGATTTATTTCTGGACTTTTTATTATGTCCCAATTGATCTGTGTTTCTGTCTTTATTCCAGTACCATACTGTTTTGGTTACTATGGCCTTATTCTATAGTTTCATATGCTAGAGTGTGATTCTTCCAAACTTGTTTTTCTTTCTCAGGATTTGTGTTGCTATGTGGGGTCTTTTGTGGTTCTATATAAATTTTTGAAATATCTGTTATAGTTCTGTGAAATACATCTTTGGAATCTTGTTAGTAATTGTGTTGAATCTGTAGATTGCTTTGGATAGTATGGGCATTTTAATGATGTTAATTATTCCTATCCATGAACATGGTATGTGCTTCAACTTTTTTTCTTCAGTTTCTTAAAATTTTATGAGGACAGGTCTTTTACATCCTTGGGTAGGTCTATTACTAGGTATTCCATTAGTCTTAATTTTTTTCTCTTGTCCATTGCCACATGGAAGAAATTTAATTTCCTTTCTTTTGTATTTGAAAATAGGCCTCAAAAATTTTATTTTCATTGGGCAGAAACAGGGCATCAACAAACTGAGGGCTCAGTGTGTGTGGCTCTGAAAATTATCTCTTAGGTCTCTGTTCTAGGATACACTTTCCAAAGACTGACTTGCAATATCCAGGTACTCACAAATTTTATTATATTGTAGTTTGTATACATGCTTGCTTTTCCACTCTCTCTCAGTTTCCACTAAGTTTCATGTTTACACTCTTCTAGGTAGAATCTATGTCTTTTTCATGTATCCTATCTCTAGAATACCTAGGATATGAATGGCTATTTCATAGCCATATCTATTTCATAGATACAGCTCTGTGTAATTCTGGATGTATTTTTTAATTTATTAAATTTTAGAGAAAGAGAAACATCATTTTGTTGTTCCACCTATTTATGTATTCACTGGTTGATTTTTGTATATGCCACAACCTTCTGTATCATGATGATGTTCCAACCAATTGATCTACCCAGCTAGGGACACTTCTTGGATTAGGTACCAGCAACTTCACTTGGCTGCTTTATTAGCTTGTGATAATGAAGCCTATAAGTTTGAAAAAGGAACAAAATATCCACTAGATCAGAAGCATGAGTAGTTTAAATTACGTATTAGATTTGACAATTACTTTTGGACACCTACTATTTGCTAGAAGCTATTGGGTTACAATGGTTGATAAGAAAAAAAGAGTCTCTGCCCTCTTTGGGCTTATGTTATAATGTAGAAAACAAATAAACATGTAGGAGAGTTCATTTTAGATAAGGATCAATGTTATGAAGTAAATAAGCCACATCTATCCAGGGTAATTGATGGAAGTGACTGAGTGGCAGGGTTGGGCAGGAGAGGTACATTAAGTAGGCGATGAGATCAGGCATCTTTGAGCACCTGAACATTGTCAGTGATCTTTGCTGAGACAAAGCATAGTAGAATTTTGTTCACAGATAAAATTATTGAGGCCCCCTGACTCCCAATCCAGAGATCTTTGCCTAACATTATCATGATGTTTAATTAGTGGTCATATACTAGCAGAAAATGCCCTTTTAAAATATGTATCTCTCCAAAGGGGAAAATGGTAAGCAGCCCAGAGCTCAGCCTGAAGGTCTCTAATTAAAGGGCAAATCATAGTTCTGGGTTCATTTTCCTAAACTCGGGATACTAATCCTGCTGCACATATAGCCTGGGATTCAGCAGTGCAGAATTATTATCAAGTACTTTTGTACTCGCTCCATGAATAACAGTGCTTTAAAATAAGAAAACTCCATTATAAATTGCCGGACATGGTATCTGCAGTTCTTGAGAATTTACTATGTTCAATTTGGGTAGCTGGCATGAAAACTGCTGTGTCCTTGGTATTTCTGAGTACATGTTATGTTAACAGCACACTGGGCAGTCCCCACTGTCATCTTCATTATTTGCTCAGTTATTTTGGCTCCCTCTAGGTAGACATGTTATAACAGGGAGGGGAAAAAAAGAGGTCAGTGGATGCAATTACCTGAAATGGATTTTTAAAAATACCAATAGATACTTTGCTTAATGATCAAGAGATCAATTGCCCTCATAAATTTCCCTCTGCCATGTTCATTTTACTACAGCCTATTTTATTTCTAGCCAGGCTTTTTCATTTTGTTTTGTAACTTACAATTACATGTGTCATATTTACAGGCTATATTTTGTGGGGTCATCTTGATGATATCAGGAAGTTCCTAGTGCTATTTAACTAACTGAACTCTTAAAATATATAATCTACAAGCCTAAATTGCTAAGTGACGCAAATCACATGAGGAAAGTGTTCTAAAAAAGCTTTTGTATTAAGTTTGCTGGCTTGCAGGGATAGGGTGACCCTTGGCCCACATTTTCTGTCTGCCCCAGCTAGAATGTTTGATATTTTGGCATAAAGATTTTACTCTGATGCAATTCCAAACCAAAGGGTTTCCAGTCAGGAAGAAGCAATGCATTTTGATCAGATTAGACTCCTAAACTGCTTCTCTCTTTGACTTCACTGATAATCTGTTTCGGGATGTAGACAAATTTAACCGTTTGCTCCGCTGTTACTTCCTGAATCAGAATTCCTGCCATTCCTTTTGCATTTCTACAGTAGTAACCAGCTTCAAAGCCCAACTTTTTAGCTAACCACCCTTAGTGAAAGGAGTCCAAAACCTTAGCTCTAGCCTTTTTTCTGGTGTCTAGTGATGAGTCTTCTTAGAAACCTCAGTTATTCTTATATTCATTACTACAGTTGGAGCCTTGCTGTCCCATTGAGTCTCCCAACCAAAATGCCAGCTGCTTGGACTCCAAGCTTTCCTTCCATATTCTTTGCTAAATTGCTTGGACTTCTCAAAAACTTTTAGAACTGTGGTAATGACTATTTTCCTGAATTATAAAGAAAATACTTTATTTAAATGGTAGCAACCTAAAAACCTATGGCCTGCTTGATCTGCAGGCCTGATTTGTGTGCTATCACAGTGTGCTAATACTTGCCTATCTTGGACCTCAGCTTCTTGCCTTAGAGAAGCGATTGATACTGGACTAGCCTTTTCTCCATTTCATCTAACATAACTAGTTGTGCAGGAGCGTGATCTGTAAGAGAAGGGGCACAAAACAGTATGGCCCTCAATCGCCCTGGCTGATTGATTGAAGGCACTTTGGGGACAGCAGCACAAAAATGGGGAAACCAAAAGTACATTAGTCACTCTGAACTAAAAAGACAGAAAGTTGAGTTCAGGACTATTGAACATACAGGCCTAGGAGCCAAAGAAAAGAAAATTGTATAAACAGCTTTAGAAATCCTCAAGTGTTTGGAAGACTACAAAGCTTTGTATATTAGGGATGGCACCTTCACAAGGCCAGACACAGAATAGATGAAAGAGAAATGACCAGAAAAGAAACAACTATTAGACATCTGGGAACTGAACAATTCTAGGAGCAGGGATGGGAGATATTTGAGTTAGGACCGCTGAGAGTAAAGAAACATAGCTCCTCTATTATTAAGCAGAAACTTGAGTTGGGCTAATGTCTCAGAATTAGGTCCAATTCTGCCTCAGAGAGAAGGCTATTTTGGGCCTACTATAGCAATGATAAGCAAGATGCTTAAAACAAACAAACAAACAAACAAAAAACAGCCCCCCCACAGCAAGCTGTTGTGTAAGCAAATTAACTAACTGACAAAACAAAACATAACACTCACAAAATTCACACAATAATATAATATCTACTCTGACTGGTGTAAAGTGGTGTCTCATTGTGGTTTTAATTTGCATCTCTCTGATAGCTAGCGATATTGAACATCTTTTCCTCTCTGGATCCTCTGTATGTCCTCCTTGGAGAATTGTCTGTTCAAGTCCTTTTCCCATTTTTTAATTGGGTTATTTGTCTTCTTAGAGTGGAGTCGTGTAAGTTCTTTGTATATTTTGGAGATTAAACTCTTGTCTGAGGTATCATTGGCAATTATGGTTTCCCATATCAGTTAGAATGGCTATCAT